ATGTTCTTGATGTCATCCCACAACTTTTCTGGTCTTCGGTCTTTAGTGTTTAATGTACCAAATTTGTTCTTCAGATGATCTCTAAATTCAGGTAGGATATATTCAAAGTCATATTTTGGCTCTTATGGACTTGTTTTCATTTTCTTCAGGTTCTGTTTGAATTTGCATATGAGTAATTGGTGATCTGTTTCACAGTCTGCCCCTAGCCTTGTTTTCATTGATGATATGGAGCTTTTCCATTGTCTCTTTCCACAGATATAGTCAATTTATTTCTTTTTATTCCATCTGGCGAGGTCCATGTGTACAGTCATCTCTTATGCTGTCTAAAGAAGGTATTTGAAATGAACAAATCATTAATTTTGCAGAATTTGATTATGCATCATTTCTATCACCAAGGCCATATTTTCCAACTACTGAACCTTCCTCTTTGCTCCCAACCTTTGCATTCCAATCACCAGTAATGATCAATACATCCTGATTGCATGTTTGCTCGATTTCAGATTGATGAAGTTGGTAGAGTTCTTCATTTCATCCTCACTGGCTTTAGTGGTTGGTGTGTAAATTTGAATAACAGTTGTATTAACTGGGCTTCCCTATAGGTACATTGATATTATCCTATCACAGACAGCGTTGTACCTCATGACTGATCTAGAGATGTTCTTTTTAATGATGAATGCAACACCATTTCATTTCAATTTGTCATTCCCTGCATAGTAAACCATGTGATTTTCAGATTCAAAATGGCCAATACCAGTCCATTTCAGCTCACTAATGCCTAAGATATCGGTGTTTATGCATTCCATTTCATTTTTTACAATTCCTAACTTTCCTAGATTCATACTTCGTACATTCTATGTTCCGATTATTAATGGATGTTTACAGCTGTTTCTCTTCATTTTGAGTTTTGCCCCATCAGCAAATGAAGGTCCCGTGAGCTTTTCTCCCACAGGCTTTACTCCATTCGCATCATCACGGTCAACTTTACTTTGAGGAGGCAGCACTTCCCCAGTCGCATTTTGAGTGACTTCCAACCTGAGGGGCTCATTTTCCAGCACTATATCTGACAGTGTTTCTCTGCTATTCATCAAGTTTTCAGTGACTAAATACTCAGGAGTAGTTTGTCACTCCTTCTTCCTAGTCTTTGTCTGGAAGCTCACCTGAAACCTGTCCACTATGGGTGACCCTGCTGGTATTTCAGTTTGTCATACTGTGGTGGCTTGTGAGTTGCTGTGATTCTGGAAGCTATGTCACCGGCATTTTAAATACCAGCAGGGTCAACCTCTTAGTTTAGAGGTTAACAAATTCAGTAAACCCAGGCCTAGGGAGAAGGCAGCAAGGGTTAATGTTCTCCATGTACACTAGTTCAGGCCAAGAATGATCATATCATTGTGGCATGAGTAGCAGAAAACGACTGCTAGAAAAGCCACGCGCACACATGCATTTTATAAGGTCAGGGACAGCAGGCAGGCTGGAGGCATGGGACACAGAGTCACGTGGCATCCTCCCCCTCAACAGCAGGGGCCCCGGGAAACAAGGTCAGGACCACCCAGGCACCCGCACAAGGAGGGAGCTGTGTCTCCTCACACACACCCCAGCCTGGGCATCCACAGCTACTGGTCCCTCCGTCCCATTCCCCAGGGTTCCCCTCCTCTCCCCAGCTCACAGTTATTCTCCAATCTTCCTCCACCCTGTCACTTCTCTTGTTAGCTGCCATCAAGCCAGCCTGACTCATGGCGACCACAGGCACACAGAACACATGCTGCCCAGTCCTGCTCCATCCCGTGACAGAGTACAGATTGGATCATCATAACCCAGAGAGTCTTCAGTGACTGATTTGTGCAAGTGTATTGCCAGGCCTTTCTTCCTAGTCTGTTTTAGTCTGAAAGCTTCGCTAAAACCCGTTCGGCATCCTAGCAACACATGAGCCTCCCCTGACAGACAGGTCTGAACTGTGCAAGAGGTGCATTGACGGGGAATCAAACCCAGATCTCCACATGGAAGACAAGAGTTCAGCACTGAGCCACCACTGCCTTCATGCCCTTTATTGTAGTTGTTGTTGTTAAGTGCCAAGGAGTCGGCTCTGACTCACAGTGACCCTGTATAGGGTTTCCAAGGCTGTAAATCTTTATGGGAGCAGAAAGCCTCATCTGTAGCCTGAGGAGCACCTGAGAGGCTCGAATTGCTAACCTTGTGGTTTGCAGCCCTGAGCTTATCCTACAGAGCCACCATGCTCCCCCACACCCACCATATACTTCCCAAGGGTCAATCAAATTCATTCAACTATCCAACCACCACCACCACCACCCAGGTGTGTCCTCTGCTTAGAAGTGAATGGGACAATTTGGTGTACTTTACAAGACCAAGACTTCACGGCCCTCCCTGTAACACACTGACCGGCGGACACACACAGATTAGAGGCCTGGCAAGCTGTTGGGGAATGAGGGTTACAAAGGAAGGCGTGCTGGGCCAGTGAGGCGGCCACCTTTGATAAGGACACACTGAGTAACTGTGGTCCCGGGGGACACTGCTCTTGGGTCAACTCAGAGAGGTTAGAGAAAAGCCGTCTTCCCAGCTTCCCCATCTCCAGGCTGGCCCTGGACTCCCCCCTTTGCAACCTCCAGGACCACTGGAGCCTCCAGGGAGTTCCCCTCCACAGTTGTTCAGGACCTCAGGTTGTTTGGCCCCTCCACATACTCATAGGGGTACATATGCTGCAGCCTCACTGTGGGGGTGTCTCATCCCGAACCCCCGACACACCCGGGGGCACCACAGAGAAGGTAGCCCCGATCATCAGTGTATGTAGAATGAAACTGCCCTCTCTCTGCCCACCAACTATCCCGGACTCCCTGCTTCACTCAGCCTCACTGTGCACCAAACTCAGCGCTTGGCTTTGGGGAGACAGCAGGGGGAAGGACAAGCCCCTGGCCAGCGAAGTCTACCTCATCAGCACTTCCCAGAGGGAGGAGGTACTTACAGCTCCGTGGACCTGGACAGGATGGCAGACAGGGTGAGCAGGATGCAGCCGTAAGGACCCGTCTCAAACTGCAGGGGAGAGAAAGGGATGAGCACACACCATGTCCCTCCTCTGTGGGGGCCACACCTCAGGTGCAGCCAGGGTCTGGGCAGACCTGCCTGAGTGGCAATAGGGGCAGATGTGGGTAACACAGTTAGCCCATGGAGCACGTCCCCACCCACTAAGTCCTCCAAACTATGGATACTGCAGCGGTGGTAGCCTCCTGTTTAATGTGTAAGCATCTGAAATGTGCACCGTCACATCTAGTGCTTCTAACCAACCTATGAGATGGTGGCACTAGGTTAGGCATTGGGTTGCTAACCTCAAGTTCAGTGCTTCAAACCCAAAAGCAGCAGTTCCTCAGGAGAAGGATGAGGGAAGCTGTCTGCAAGAATAAAGATGTACATCTTCAGAAACCTCACACAGGGCCACTATAAGTCACTTTTGTTCCCCAGACAAACGCCTCTCCCCAGCTACAAGTCAGCCTGGGAATGATACCACAAATGTAGACCACAGCTGAAGACACTTCTGTTTTAATAGTTGGTGTTCCTTACATAAAGGTCTGTGTGACCAATTTCTTGTCTCCATTAAGAATTATATATTTTGTTATGTTTCCATTTTTGCCTTGACTGCCAAGAAGCTTACAGCCAAGTAGAGTGCTTAACTGTGGCGACTCTTTCAACTCAATCTCCTGATAAAAATATCATTTCTCTTCCTTAAAATCCAGTCATCAACCATACAGGGAGAAGAGCACGAGTGGAATGTGAGATTCTATCCAGAGAAGCAGCGACACCAGCAATGGAGGCAAAGATGAGGACAGGGAGAGAGAGAGCAGCTGAAGACTCTACACTCATGGAAAGAGAAAGGCTGTGTGCTGGCGGCCCGGAGGCAAGCTTGTAGAACGTCCCCTTTGGTTGTTTAAATGGTTATATCTTCCTGAGTGTTTTTATGTACACCCCCACTAAAAAAAACAACAAAAAAAATAGAATAGAAGCAAATACTGTTAAATGATGATGCACAGAGGTGATTGTAATCATTGCAATGAAACAATGAGTGTAAAACAAATGTTCTCCCACATAAACTATCACTCAATTCACAATACAACCAAAAACAAATGAAAATACAGTCATCAGTTCAATTACTCAGTCCATCAGTTATTTTGTTTTGTTTTGTTTTTAATTACTGAATGCACGTTCTATGCCAAGCAGATGCTCTATGCTAAGGCTACACTTGTGAGCAAAGTGGGTATTGATCTGCCCTCAGGGAGAAGTAACTCAAGGGAGAAAGAATATGCACATTGAGAAGCGGGGAAGAGACTGCTCTGATGTGAAATACAGGGTCCTCTGGAAACACACAATAAGGGCCATGGATATAGATTGTTGGAGAGATGGGACATGCCAAAGGCTGGCTTTCTGGATCAAGTGGTGCCTCAACAAGAAGCCCAGACACCAGCAAGGATCAGAAGAGAAGGGGACACTATTCCAGGCAAGAAGAAAAGTCCATGCAAAGGTCCAGACAAAAGACAGGGCAAATTTACTGTGGCTGGAGCATAGGAGAATCCTGAGGATGTCCTTTTTGATATCAGAAACTCCAAATCATTTGGGCAAGTGGCAATGAAGCAAATGAATGAACCAAAATCTTAAACCAACCTCATCTTAATTCTATGATCTCAAGCCTGTTGATTCATTTCTGTTGTCCTCAATTTCCCAATTTACAAAGCAAGGATCATGCTCCATTTCTCCTTGGGTTATTTACTGTGGACACTCCATGACACAATGTCAGTGGAAGTGGTCTGACAACTACACAGACAGACAGAGACCTGGGAGGACGTGGGCCACCATCACCGTTGTCACGGCTCCAATACTAACTCACATGCTGCCTGGGGAGAGTTGCAAAGCTTGCTTTGTGTCTGTTTCCCCTTCTGTCACTCTTACCTACTTCTGCCATCAGCTTGCAGCTCACCTTGGGCATGTCACAGCCTAGCATACCACCTTATGAAAGCTGCAAAGCTTGCTTTGGGCCCATTTCCCTTCTGTAACGCCTAGTTACTTCTGGCCCAGATGTACACATTGTCTTGGGAACACAACTTTCTCAGTCTATTCTCCTCTGCCATGCCTGTAATGCCCACCCTTCACAGGAATGCAATGAAGTCGTGGACATAGAAGCACATGGTAGGCGCTAACTCTTTCTGTAAATGTGGGTGGCTGTCATTACTGTGAAGGAACCCTGATGGAGCAGCAGTTAAGCACTTGTCTGCAAATCCAAAGATTGGCAGTTCAAAAGCCCACCCAGCTTCTCCACAGGAGAAAGGTCTGGCAACCTTCTTCTGTAAAGACGTCAGCCCAGAAAACCCTGGGGGCACTTCTACTCTGTCACGTGGGTCACTATGAGTTGGATCAGCTCTGTGGCACCCATCAAGAACAACATCATTACTACTATATGCCAATCATTTCCACAGCCCATGGAAAAGCCTCAAGGAGATGTAGCCTGGGCCCTGGTCATGCCCCTTCATTCTACATGGACTGGCTAAGTGAGGCAGCAGAGGGTGGGAATGGGGCCCCTGCTTGCCCTTACTGGAACACAACTGAATTGAATGGCACCAATATTCCATCTTGCTCTAAAAACATTTAGTTAAAGTTATCATATCAAATTCAAGCTGCCAAGACACAGAAAGCCCCAAGAAAAGCATACCCGACCAGGCAAATAGGCAGAAACCATGATTTAGGTCTACAAAAGTTTCTGGTGCCACTTAGAAAGAAAGTGCCGTTCTTCCTCCTGACTCTGTGGCCCTGGAGAGTCCTGCACCCACCAAGGAACTCCAATTGGAGGCTGGGGCAGACCATCTCCCCAGCTTGTGCAAGGCCTGCAAGATACCTCGCCCACAGGGTGAACAGTAATGAAAGCCCAGCAAGGAGGCTATTTATTTTGGGCAGAGATGGCTCAGTGTTCATTTCCAGACCTGGCATGAGGAAGCCCTCTTAGGCCCAGGCCATGAAAAATGAATTTGGTTAGAGTAGTGCTGAGGCAGCTTAACCACTTCCAGCAAAAACACAAATCAAACTGCAAGGGGGAAACATGGCCTTCCAGACTGAAGCAGGCCAAATATCAACTGGCCGCCTACACCTAGAGACTCATTAACAAGTCTCATTAATGAAGACTCATTAACGACCTGCGATATGCAGATGATACAACCTTCTTTGCTGAAAGTAAAGTGGACTTAAAATACTTACTGATGAAGATCAAAGAGCACAGTCTTTGGTATGGATTGCATCTCAATGTAAAGAAAACAAAAATCCTCACCACTGGACCAATAAACAACATTGCTATCAACAGAGAAAACATTCTTCTTGGATCAACTATCAACACTCACGGAAGCAGCATTCAAGAAATCAATGTATTACATTAGTCAAGTCTGCTACACAAGACCTTTTTAAAGTGTTGAAAAGCAAAAATGTCAGCTTGAGGATTAAGGTGCTCCTGACCCAAGCCATGGTATTTTAAATAATCTCATATGCATGCAAAAGCTGGACAGTGAATAAGGAGGACCGTAGAATTGATGCATTTGAGTTATGGTTTTGGAGGAGAATATTAAAAGTATCATGAGTTGCCAAAAGAACAAACAGATCTGTGTTGGAAGAAGCGCAGCCAGAGTGCTCCTTAGAGGCCAGGATGGCCAAACTTTGCCTCTCATACTTGGAACATATTGTCTGGAGGGACCAGTCGCTGGAGAAGGATATCATGTTTGGTAAGGTGGAGGGTCAGATAAAAGAGGAAGATCCCCAGAGAGATGGATTGGCAAAGTGGCAGCATCAATGGGCTCAAGTGTGGCAACAATTTGTGAGGTTGGCCCAGGACTGGGCAGTGTTTCGTTCTGTTGTGCATAGGGTTGCTATGAGTCGGTACCAACTCGATGGCACCTAACAACAACACACAGAGATGCAGAAATGATTGAACAGTATCATCACTATCAAACACAAGTAAAATTTTGCTAAAGATAATATCCAAAAACTTGATATATTATGATGTTGCAGTATATTGACAGAGAACTGGCAGAAATTCTCAGATTAGATTCAGAGAATCTAATCTGAAACTTCAGAGTAATCTGAATCTTCAGAGTAGATTCAGAAGAGGGGTGGAGTAATGAATATTATTGTTGATGTCAGAAGAATCTTGACTGAAGGCAGAAAATACTAGAAATATGTTTACTTGTGTTTTATCGACTCTGTGAAGCAGATCATAACAAATAGTGGGTAGCATTGCAAAGCATGGAAATTCCAGAACATTTCATTGTGCTCCTGCAGAATATATACATAAACCAAGAAAGAGAGAACATGGAATGGTTTTTAATCAGGAAAGATGCACACGAGTGTTACATCCTTTCACCATATACGTATACTTAGTCTGTGTGCTGAGCAAATAATCCAAGAAGCTGGGCTATAGGAAGAAGAGCATGGCATCAAGAGTTGAAGAAGACTCATTAACAACCTACGATATGCAGATGATACATCTCGTTTGCTGAAAGTGAAGAGGACCTGAAGCACTTAATGAAGATAAAACACCACAGCCTTCACTGTAGATTAAAGCTCAACATAAAGAAAATAAAAGTCTTCTCAACTGGACCAAAACACAGCATCACAGTAAAAAGAGAAAAGACTGAAATTGTTAAGGATTTCATTTTACTTGGATCCACAATCAACACCCATGGAATTAGCAGTCAAGAAATCAGACACATAAGGGGGCTTTCAAAAAGTTCATGGGAAATTTTATTAAGAACTTTTTGAAGTCCCTTTATCTTACTTTAGGAAAATCTGCTGAAAAACTTCTTCAAAGTGTTGAAAAGCAAAGATGTCACTTTGAGGACTAAG